TCCACACCTTTTGAAGACGCTAATTTTTGATGAGCAATCGCTTTTTTCGATACAAAGCTTAGTTTGGGAGAAAAAATTAAATATGGAAATCGACCGAAACCCTGAAGTTGAACCTCAACTTGACGATGTTTTGGACAAAAATTTTTTCCAAAAATACCTCGTTTAAAAATCTCGTATTCTCTGATGTAAATGCATGCCAATATGAGCGGGTTTGTGCCGGAAAAATTACTCTGATGAGCTGAGGGGCAAAGACAGAAAACTGGTAAATTTGGAAACTTCGGCTTGAAATCAAAAACTTCCATTTGCTCGCTTATTGTTCACTTTAGAAAAAAAGTTAATACCAAGTTTTTTATGCCGTTTTGCCTCCTCTATTCAGTGGCGTGCTTGGAATGAGTCGATGGATTTTCGTTCTCCAGATATTTTCAGTTTTGTTGAAGCAGCGTTTTTGGCGATTTCTCCAAAACGTTTGTTGCGACACGCATGGAAAAATTCTCCCAGGTACCTTTGGAGAAGGTAAATTTTTTATAAAGAACCACTTTTTTCGATAGAAAGCATAGTTTGACAGAAAAAAAATTAAATATGAAAATCGACCAAAACCTTAAAGTTGAACTCGCCGGTTTTTTGGACTCAATTTTTGTTTCAAAAATTTTTTTTTTTCAATATTCTCTGGTGTAAATGCCTGCTCAGTTGAGTGGGTTTGTGCCGAAACACTTACTCGGATGAGCTGAAGGGAGACGGCAAAAAACCGGTAAATTTTAGAGTTTTGTTGAAACAGCGTTTTTGGCGATTTCTCCAAAACCTTTGTTGCGACTAGCATGGAAAAATTCTCCCTAGGTACCTTTGGAGAAGGTAAATTTTTTATAAAGAATCACTTTTTTCGATAGGAAGCTTAGTTTGACAAAAAAAAATTAAATATGAAAATCGACCAAAATCCTAAAGTTGAACCCGCCGGTTTTTTGGACTCAATTTTTGTTTCAAAAATATGTTTTTTTAAAATCTTCTCCTCTGGTGTAAATGCCTGCCAAGTTGAGTGGGTTTGTGCCGAAACACTTACTCGGATGAGCTGAGGGGAGACGGCAAAAAACCGGTAAATTTTGGAGTTTCCTAATAAATTCGGCTGGAAATCAAAAAACTTCCATTCGCTCGGTTATTGTTCACTTTAGAGAAAAAGTGAATACCAAGTTTTTTATGCCGTTTTTCCTCTATTGAGTGGCGTGCTTGGAATGTGTCGATGAATTTTCGTTCTCCAGATATTTTCAGTTTTGTTGAAACAGCGTGTTTGGCGATTTCTCCAAAACCTTTGTTGCGACAAGCATGGAAAAATTCTCCCTAGGTACCTTTGGAGAAGGTAAATTTTTTATAAAGAATCACTTTTTTCGATAGAAAGCTTAGTTTGGCATAAAAGAAATTAAATATGAAAATCAACCAAAATCCTAAAGTTGAACCCGCTGGTTTTTTGGACTCAATTTTTGTTTCAAAAATATTTTTTTTTCAATCCTCTGGTGTAAATGCCTGGTCAGTTGAGTGGGTTTGTGCCGAAACACTTACTCGGATGAGCTGAAGGGAGACGGCAAAAAACCGGTAAATTTTGGAGTTTCCTAATAAATTCGGCTGGAAATCAAGAAACTTCCATTCGCTCGCTTATTGTCCACTTTAGAAAAAAGTGAATACCAAGTTTTTTATGCCATTTTGTCTCCTCTATTCAGTGGCGTGTTTGGAATGAGTCGATTGATTTTCGCTCTCCAGATATTTTCAGTTTTGTTGAAGCAGCGTTTTTGGCGATTTCTCCAAAACGTTTGTTGCGACAAGCATGGAAAAATTCTCCCAGGTACCTTTGGAGAAGGTAAATTTTTTATAAAGAACCACTTTTTTCGATAGAAAGCTTAGTTTGACAGAAAAAAAATTAAATATGAAAATCGACCAAAACCTTAAAGTTGAACCCGCCGGTTTTTTGGACTCAATTTTTGTTTCAAAAGTATATTTTTTTTAAATCTTCTCCTCTGGTGTAAATGCCTGCCCAGTTGAGTGGGTTTGTGCCGAAACACTTACTCGGATGAGCTGAAGGGAGATGAAAAAAAAAACCGGTAAATTGTGGAGTTTCCTAATAAATTCGGCTGGAAATCAAAAAACTTCCATTCTCTCGCTTATTGTTCACTTTAGAAAAAAAGTGAATTCCAGGTTTTTTATGCCGTTTTATCTCCTCTATTGAGTGACGTGCTTGGAATGAGTCGATGGATTTTCGCTCTCCAGATATTTTCAGTTTTGTTGAAGCAGCGTTTTTGGCGATTTCTCCAAAACCTTTGTTGCGACAAGCATGGAAAAATTCTCCTTAGGTACCTTTGGAGAAGGTAAATTTTTTATAAAGAATAACTTTTTTCGATAGAAAGCTTAGTTTGACAGATAAAAAATTAAATATGAAAATCGACCAAAATCCTAAAGTTGAACCTGCCGGTTTTTTGGACTCAATTTTTGTTTCAAAACTATTTTTTTGAATTCTCTCTGGTGTAAATGCCTGCTAAGTTGAGTGGGGTTTTTTCCAAACACTTACTCGGATGAGCTGAAGGGAGAAGGCAAAATGCCGGTAAATTTTGGAGTTTCCTAATAAATTCGGCTGGAAATCAAGAAACTTCCATTCGCTCGGTTATTGTTCACTTTAGAAAAAAAGTGAATACCAAGTTTTTTATGCCGTTTTTCCTCTATTGAGCGGCGTGCTTGGAATGTGTCGATGAATTTTCGTTCTCCAGATATTTTCAGTTTTGTTGAAGCAGCGTTTTTGGCGATTTCTCCAAAACCTTTGTTG